GTTCCCATTGCTGTCAGCCGAGCCGGACGTGCCGCTGGAACACTCGTCATCGCTGCCGTACTTGGGTTTGTCCATGATGGTAGCACTGCCCCCATATCCCCGGGCACTCGCCTCAGGCCTGAACTCCTCTAAGGAACTTTTTAAGTGAGCGATGTTGTCGGCACTGCCAAACTTATTCCGGATCAAGTTGGCAAACTCTCTGGACTTGTTGAACACAAACACGGGGGGAGTAAGGGACACCCCGGGCATGCCCGACTTACTGCTCTCCATGCTGTGGGGTGCAGTCCGAGATTTCACGTGGGCATCTTTCAGAGAGTGGTGTATGTCCTTCAGGCGGTCTTTGGAAATGTCCTTTGAGCTCCTGGGGGCTCCATTCTGTTCGAGCTCTCTGAGCTTTCTGTGGTACTGCTCTAGCTTCTTCTGCAGCTGGGCGATGGAGTGAGCGGACTTCTGATTCTTCTTCTCAAAGACTTGTTTGATGCGTCCAGCCTGCTGCTTGTCCGCACTGTTAACTAGTTTTAGATACTCGGCGACATTCCCATCGCGGGATGTTTGCTCAATTTTTATCTGCTCTGTTACCTTTAGAATTTTTTGTTTCAGGCTGTCTGCGGTGAGTTTGACCTTGTGGAAGTCCAAGATGCCATCTGGTACGTCAAAGTTGAGGTTGGTGTCTGACCCCCCACGGCGTATGCTCAGGGGCAGGCTTAAGGTATTCATGTCATGGCGTTCTACCCGGCTCCTGCAGCGGTGTTGCCGGCCCGGGTCTGAGTAGGTCCGGTCCACGGTGAGCGCCGTGTCGCTGCCCGGCATCTCGGCGCTCCAGCGGGGAACTTTGCTCTCTTCTGGGGCCGCGGCGCCGCGAGCCGCCCGCCGAGCTCGGGCTCACCCCGGGAGCCGCGGCCGAGGGCAGTTTCTTCATCTTAAAAAGGGATCTGCCTCAGTGATTTGTTGTAAAAATTATAGATGTAAATGAGATAATGTGTGTCAAACACTCAGCAAAAGAGCCTTACATTTCTTAAGCATTAAGTAAAAGTCATTATCATCATTAAGCATCCTAACACCCTTCACCCCTGTGTAGTCTCATCTAATTGGGATGATGCAATTGTTCCCTGGAAGACTAAGGAATTACTTGCCCGAGGCCCCGGGGCCCTGGGACTTCTTGACTTAAGCTCAAGAAGCCTAAGTCTCGGTTGTGTTATGGTGGAAGTAAGTTGGGATTGTGGAAGTGGAGGTGGGGACAGGTTGAGGTGGGGAGAGGCTGGGGCGGAGGGAAGATGATCAGAGTCCTGGACAACAAGGAGAAGAAAAAATGGTGTGAGCTGTAGATGTGATGGAGAGCTGTGAAGATCACCCCTTCTCACAAATTTATCAAGGGCTGGTCTGAGAAACGCCCTGTGGGGCGAACACATCAGGATGCCATCCGTGTAGCCCCTGGGAACTCCTCACCTCCTTACGTCCATTGTCCCACAGAGGGAGGCAAGGGAAAGGAGAAAAAGGAATCTTAAAAGTCTAGCTGATTCTTTTTTTTTTTTTTTTTTTGAGACAGAGCCTCAAGCTGTTTCCCTGGGTAGAGTGCTGTGGCATCACAGCTTACTGCAACCTCTACCTCCTGGGC